CCTCCCAAACCAACCGCATCACCAGCCTGTAACCCAACTCTCCGCTTATGCACTGATCCCTCATCTAATGTAAAGCCAACTCTATAACTAACTCTTTATAACTCTAACCGTAAACCCGCCCATTCACTCACCCGATAAACAGTTGACCTTAAAATAATCCACTTGCACTGCCCCCCTCATTACCCAATGTTCCCTCATACCCTCCATGTACCCAAACCCTCTGGATAGCCTTGCCCCAGGAGGTGGGTTTTAGACACCATAACCAACCTTATGACGTTGCCCCTGCTCTCTGCCCCCTCACTTACTTTATCCCAGCGGCCAGCTCCTTCTCATCTGTGTCCGACATTCCATCATCACAGTCCTTCAGCTTCCAGTCCATGATGTAGCCAATCACAGGGGCCGTCATTAAGCACAGCAGTTGCAGGACTCCAAAGATGGAGGAGTACAGGCTGACTGAGGGGGAAAACACAGCGAACAAATCAAACACAGACCAGAACCCACTCACCACACACAGGCAACAGTCAAACCCAAACTGACATGCACACTGCGCTCTAACTAAGGAGACACAACAAACCGGTACACAGCAAGATCCCACAAGTAGCAAGGTGAGGATGGCCACATAATGTGAAGACCGGCACAACTTCCCCTCAACTATCAAAACCATCCACAGAGATCAACGGTCTAATCTCTCACTCCCATAACGTCACCTCCGACAGCGCGGCGCTCCCTCGGCGCCGACCCTCCGACAGCGCGGCGCTCCCTCGGCGCCGACCCTCAGGTGGATGGTCCATGTCCTAACCATTCTGTAACAGGTCCCCCTTTCCCTCTCTTGGTCTCCTGCTCAGACTCCCCTCTTTGCCAACACTGCCATCCTAGAAAGTTTGGGAATGGCTGGTTGGACACTGCTCCGTGAGCAGCGGGACACAGTGAGTTTAGAGGAGAGAATCTTAGCCACACTCTGGGTATGGATCATCTTTAATACAAGCTGGAAGGATGTGGGAATGTCATTGCTCAGGTAAAGGGAGTGTGTGGGAACATTGTAGTTACAGTCTGGATATGAGAGGCTAGGAATCATTCAGGATAGTGTTTACACAAGGCTGGGTGGGTGGAGCATTGCTTCTCTCTCCTTGTAGTGTGGGAACCTAGGGAGCACCGTAGCTACGCTCTGGTATAGGATGTGGGGTCTCAGGGGAGCACTGTAGCTACGCTCTGGTATGGGATGTGGGGTCTCAGGGGAGCACCGTAGCTACGCTCTGGTATGGGATGTGGGGTCTCAGGGGGGCACTGTAGCAGAGTGAGAACCTAGGAGAAATATTTAGGTGGGTTTGTTCCAACAGCAACCAAACTGAGCTGATTATGCCCAATAACCCAACACCAACCCCTCCCCATCCCCCACTCTACCCCCACTCCCCCCCCACTCTACCCCCCTTCCATACGCTCCCTTGGTTCTTACCCGTCTCCATAACTGTATTGGTCATTGGTTAGAGAGGCAGCAGCGCCACAGTGAGGGAGAGAGTGCGGGCAGAGGGAGGGTGGGGAGGGGAATAGTGGCACATTGACCAGCCAAAGGGAAAGTGGGAAGGAAGGAAAGAAGGAAGGGAGGAGAGAGAGAGAAAAGAGAGACATGTGTTAGAAGAAGGAGAGAGAGCAGCAAAGTGGATCTGGATGAGAGCAGTACAGGTCCCAGAGAGAGGAAAAGGAGCTGGGAATCTGTGTGAACATCAGGAGACAAGAATCATTCATAGTTCAGGTAGAAATCGAGAAGCTGCTGGAACAAGAAATGATGCAACAGGCTTTCCTTTCAAATTATCCAACTCCTCCACCCCTCCAAACCCCTCAATCCCTCCCAAACCCCTCAATCCCTCCCAAACCCCTCCATTTCCACAATCCTCATTTCCTGAGGTTTTGATCCTTGCAGGAGGTACTGGGTAGGGATGGCATGGTCACTACTGGCTACATTATAGCCTGTTCTCATCGAAAGGCCCAGGGCCAGAGTTTCTCCCTGCCTCAGCTGTTTGATCAGATCTGGGCCCATGACATTTCACCCCCATTTCATCCCTGCAATTGTACAGATCTGCAAGGTTTTATCCTCTGTCATCAAACACCTGATGGGTTAAGAAATCCGATCTGAAGGAATCTCTCCACTTCCAGGGATACAGGGCAGCGAATGAGAAGGGGTCTGGGTCCATTGGGATGGTGTAGAGTGGGAGCGAATGGGAAGGGGTCTGGGTCCGTTGGGATGCTGTAGAGTGGGAGCGAACGGGAAAGGGTCTGGGTCAGTTGGGATGGTGTAGAGTGGGAGCGAACGGGAAGGGGTCTGGGTCAGTTGGGATGCTGTAGAGTGGGAGTGAACGGGAAGGGGTCTGGGTCCATTAGGATGGAGTTCTTTGGGGGTAATTGGGAAGGGGTTGGATGAATTGGGAATGAGGACAGCATGGATACAGTTGGTGCTGATATGGGAGACAGTTCTGGGTTTGTGCTATTCTCCCAGATTTGGAAAGGAAAGGGTTAAGAGATGAGGCTGTGTGTGATCTGTCATTTTATGGACTTTGCTTATTCGAGAGTTTCTCAGCGTCAGCAAATGTGAGGGAGTGAGGAAACATCTCCACGGTAACATCTCGTGTAGAAACGAGGAAGAAAAACAGGAAAATATGATGACGGGAAACAAATTGCTGAGTCTGGGCTGGAGCAGTTCCAGTGTGGTCAGGTACTGAGTCCCCAACAACATCAAATGCTCTGCCTCCAGGATAACCTCATTGCCCCCCGAAAGGTAACCCCGCCCCCCACAGAGTAACCTCACTGCCCCCAGGATAACCTGTCCCTTTAATCTTCCCTCTCCCTGAGAATCTCCTCCCATCCCCCATCCCATGGCCCTTCCCTTAATCCCTCTCCCTAAACCTGCCCCTCCCCTAAACCTGCCCCCAAATCCACTCCCCACCGAACTGAATCTCTACTACCCAGAATCTCCTGTCACTCCCTTAAACCTGCTACTCCCTCCAGAATCTCCCCCAAAAGATCCCTCTTTGACCCCAATAATCCATCCCCAACTTAATTCCTGTCGAACCCCCACCCCCCCAGGATCTCCCCACCTGCCCCTGGCCCTCCTTCTGGTTAATCCTCCCCCAGAATCACCCCCTTTTGTTCCCCTCCCTGTGGCTCTCCCCAAGACACGGACGCCCTCCCGTGACATGCAGACTCCCCCGTGGAGAGGGAGGTTCCCTCACCAAACCCCACCCCACCCCCGACTCACCCCCCACCCCCACACAGCCCCCGGTCAATGCAGAGTGTCCACAGGCTCCAGGGCTGGGCACCGGTACATTGTGAATGCCAAGGCAGTGCCTCTGACCGAGGAAAGTTCCGGGTGACCTTCTTCCCACTGCCTTCCCAGGCAGCACCTTCCAGATCACAGCAACTCACTGTAATTCTCCCCATTAGCCATTACAGGCCCCTCTCTCAGCCCCTGATGTTCATGAGGATGTCAAAGCAGCCATGATCCTATTGAATAGTGGAGCAGGTTTAAGGAGCTGAATGTCTATTCCTGCACCTATTTCTTTTGGTCTGATGGTCTTTACCTCATTACCTCAGACCTGGGCCTAGTTCCTGAGCCCATCCTTGGCTGCTACTTTATTTGTTGGGCTCGTTATAAAAATCTGATCACACAGTATGACAGTAAAATGTAGGGTAGCTTGATCTTAAGAGTAGGATAATAGGTTGATACAACATTGTGGGCCGAAGGGCCTGTACTGTTCTATGTTCACAGGCTTGTCCAGGATCGGATCTGTATTCCCTGCCCTTTGACATCCAAAAGGTCACAGGGGCCTGGGCCTCAGCCCCTCCTGCTTCATACTCCCAGGCTGACCCACTCACGTTGACCTGATTCTCAAACCATTCTCCACAGGTCCCAAAGAGATCCGGGATCATCACCTTACACCACCCCTCCCACATCTCCCCCTTCATTCCCAAAGCCCAGCACGTACACAAACTGGATTGAGTCTGCGAGGTCTCCACGGTAACCTACCTGTGACGAGATCTCCCTCAACCAGATCCTCCAGGATGTTGTTCATGGCTCCCATGTAGAAGATGAGGCGGAGCTGTGTCACACACATAGTGACCAAGCTCAGGATATAGACTGGGCTGAAGATACTCTGCATGAAGGACCCAGAGCCTGTGGGTAACAGAGGGCAGCAGTTAGGGTCCAGACAAAGGTCAGTTATAGAGTCATACAGCACGGAAACAGACCTTCAGTCCAACTTGTCTGTGCCGACCAGATATCCCAAATTAATCTCGTCCCATTTGCCAGCATTTGGCCCATATCCCTCTAAACCCTTCCTATCCAGATGCCTTTTAAATGTTGTAACTGTACCAGCCTCCACCACTTCCTCTGGCAGCTCATTCCATACACGCACCACCCTCTGTGTGAAAAAGATGCCCCTTAGGTCCCTTTTAAATCTTTCCCCTCTCACCTTAAACCTATGCCCCTCTAGTTTTGGACTCTCCCACCCCAGGGAAAAGACCTTGTCTATTCACTCAATCCCCACCTCTCATGATTTCATAAACCTGAGGTCACCCCTCAGCCTCCAGGGAAAATAGCCCCAGCCTATTCAGACTGTCCCTGTAGCTCAAACCCTCTAGTGTTGATCGCAGACTTCTTTTTAAAAACTGTTTTGCACAATATTTTTATTTATATTTATACTCCACACTAAACGTTTGTGGTCAGTCACGCTACAGACCAAGGTATCCTGGTCACAGCAAAAGGGCGGAAATCAGAGGCCTAGCTAGGATCTCTCCTCCAGCTCTACCCACCCACACACAGACAGACAGACACACTCACACACACACACTCACACACAGACAGACAGACAGACAGACACACTCACACACACACACAGACAGACACACTCACACACAGACAGACACACTCACACACAGACAGACAGACAGACAGACACACACAAATACAGACAGACAGACACAGATACAGACAGACAGACACACTCACACACAGAGACACACACCCACCCACACCCACACAGAGACACACCCACACACAGAGACACACCCACACACAGAGACAGAGGGAGAGAGCCCCCTCTCCTACCATCGTGATGACTGAGGAGAAAGTTCACTCAATAACATGTAGAGTCTTCATCATTGACTCTCAGTGAGACCAGCCCTGGAGTACACATTGCTCTCAGCTCCTTGCCTGGGCAATGTGGGTTGAATGGCCTACTCCAGCCCCTGTTTTCGCTGTTTCTAACCTCACCCTGGAGGGGGCTGCACCAGACTGACCCCGGGGGTGCAGGGATTGTCCAATGAGGAGCAATTGAGTGCTCTAGGCCTGTGTTTGGTGGGCTTTAGAATGAGAAGGGTGATCTCTAATCCTGTGAGGGGCCTTTAGTGATCAGCGGAATCAGGACAGGCCTAGGGCTAGGCCCCAGCCTTTAACACATAGCCAGGCAGCAATTGACTGTCTCCCTCTTACCGTTAGCTCTAGTTCCACATACCACTGCCCCCTACTCTCTCTCTCTCTCCCAGCGATGAACCTTATCCTCACTTGGCTCAGTGTAGACCTTCGCTCCTGTGGAGATGTTTGGTGACGTTGTCAAGGTGCTACCTAAATGCAGTCCGCATTGCACCAACCCACCTTGATCGGGAGCCTGACATTTGACCTCCAGGTCCACAGTGGACAAACAGAGCTTGTTGCCATCCTGAGTGGCCAGTTTGTCCTGAGGCTTCATCGAGTTCCCAATGCTGAGACGTCGGCCCACCGTAGTCACCTGCTTGTAGAACTGCCTCCCTGTGATCTTGTGATCGAAACCCAGCCAGCTGAATTTCACCTTCACCCTACCGAGGGGCAATGGAAGGGGGGTGGGGGAACAGGAAAGAGACGGGGAGAGGGAGAGAGACACAGAGAGAGACAGAGAGAGAGAAATGGAGGGAAAGAAGGGCAGGAGAGAGAGATAGAGAGGGGAGACAGAGAGACAAGGGGAGGAGAGAGGAGGCAGGGCAACAGAGAGAGAGAGAGAGAAAGTATGCAAAGAGAGAGTTAGACAGAAAAATGGAGGGGAGGGAGAGAAGGAAGAAAGAAAGAGAGAGAGAATAGAGGAGAGAGAAGCAGAACATTAGGGAACGAGCACAGAGTCAGGGATAGGGGTAAGTACAAAAAGGAAGAGATTGGAAAAGGAGGAGATAGGAGTGAGGGAGGGAGACAGAAAGGAGGATTATGGTATACACAAAGAGATACAAAAACAGAGAATAAAGGAGGATAAATTCAGAATGGACGGGTGGACGGGTGGCAGTAAAAGGTACAGTAGTGGAGAGAAATGGGGAGGAGAGCAATTAGATCAGATTGAGAGAGAGATTACAGGGAAAGGGGTTGGGTGAAGGTAGAGAGAAACAGGAATGTTAATGTTGAGACATTTCCTGTCAGATGGAGTCTGTTCCTGGGGGAAGGGGCAGTACGAAGGGTACAATATTTCCAGAAGGGAGTGAAGATGAGGACATGGCTAATTTGGGAAGTGTTGGAGGGGGATGGGGCTGGAGAGATACCTGGGGTAAGGGGTAAGGGGTGATGGAGGTGTGGACAGGGTTGGGAGGAGCTCAGACCAAGAGGCAGGGCCTGCAGGTGGAAGGGGAGGGGGCAGGTTTGCTGGGCTGGGGGTGGGGTGGGGTGGGGTTGTGCGGTGGTCAGTACACAAGCTTCCTGCTCAGACCACAAGCCGTGCTGTAAAGTGAGACATGAAATCTGCTGGAGCAGGGTGACTACCCCACCCCCCAAAGCCCTGCCCTTGAGCCAAGGATACAAACAGCCCACACAGACTGGGACACACAACAATATCGTCATCACTGCCTGGCCTCCCAAGAGTGAGTCAATCATTCAATCCCCAGGCCCGAGCTGCAGAAGCTGAATATTGAAATGTTAATCCCTCACCCTCACCCCGATCTATTCCTCTCCTTTTCGCAATGACAGGGTCAGTATAAATGCCCCCACCCCCACAGGCCTGACACCCCCTCACATCCCTCTCCCCCACAGGCCTGACCCCCCTCACATCCCCCTCCCTCACAGGCCTGACCCCCTCGTCTCCCCCATCCCCACAGGCCTGACCCCCTCGTCTCCCCCATCCCCACAGGCCTGACACCCCCTCACATCCCCCTCCCCCACAGGCCTGAACCCCCTCACATCCCCCTCCCCCACAGGCCTGACCCCCACCACCCCA